GTTCAGGCGTAGCATCTTCAGGAGTTCACATTAAAAGTTCTGCAGGGAGGGTTAAAATAAATGTCTCGTTGGATATAATTCCAGCCTCTGCAGAGTTCTTTTGTATCCACCGTGATATGAGGGGATCGATGCATCACTCTTTGTCCCCGAGTTTTAAATTGCTTTGATTAAAACTTTCTGCCAAATAAGTAGATGTCAACACTCCAGCCTTTGGAGTGACCTTTGTCTATCCACTGATCTAAACCCAACCAATAATCGTCTACCCCCGAAATCAAGCCCAAATCACTGTGCAGACTGAGAAAGAGAGTCAGACTGCTATTCATCAAAAATCGAACCTCAAAGAAAGTTCACACTGAAATTAGTGCATCTGTGACATTGTAGAAGGCTGTGTTACTGGGAACCTGTTGCTTTAGGCGTGCTGACTAAAGGTTTCTCTGATATAAAACCAGAGAAGTTAATAATAATATTGGTCAGGATTTACAAGCTGGCACAACAGCTACTGTCCGTCAGATGATAATGATGCAAAGCATTGTGGACTTTGAACTGTGCATACTCTATTCTCCCACAGTTTATCTCAGATTTGTAAAACTACCTCTGTGAAAACTTTAAATGTGTCATCCTTCACTTTTCTTGCAGCCACTTGTGTTGTATTAATGCACTGTGTATGTTCACAGGAAACCGTTTTAATGTGACAGGTTGTTTGTTATTGGCGCATCCTCTTGTATCAGCAACTATAGAACCTGCCCATTGCCCTGCATCCAAGCTGTGATGGATAACTGAAAAAGGAAATAGATTGTAAATCTTGTGTACTCAGTTTGCACAAATTGCACAAAAAAATGTCTCTACAGGGTGTGCTACCTAATTTTGGGTTCACTTCACAAAACAGTTTGTAAGAAAATGGAAAAACATGGTTCGAGTTAAAAACCCTGTTATGCTGAATTATCCCATTGACTTTGGATGTGAACACGTGAAGACGTCGTCCTGCTGCAGCTCTGATAGAGGCTGCATGACTGACTGACAAACAGAACTCAGAAGATGTGAGCTGCTGCTAAGGACACAGTCTCATGCCTCTGGTATCTACATCACTCCACACCGGCTATGATAATTAGCCAATTAATGGGATCTGGCATGTGAGTTGGTTATCTGTCCTAACCCCCAACCCCACCACCGCCCACATCCTGCGACCCAGCTGACACCAAAATCAACATCCTATCTGAGTGCACCTACGTGTGAAAACGTTCATATGATAATGGAGAGACAGACACGTACACAAAGGAAACACAACACCACAGGCTACAATGTAATGATGGAATCAATAAGGAAGAGCAATTCATGTGCGCAGCTGATCTCCAGGCAAAGTCAAAGACAGCATTTGATTTATTTTTCATGGGTTGTGCATTAGAAACCGTATCTGTTATCTTTCTATCGTTGCCCCCTTTGGAAAGGCAGAGGGGGTGCGAGCAGTAAAGGCTGCTGTCTACCTCTGGAATCCTTACTATCATTTCAACCTGAGCCTATCAGCACATCATGAACATTTTGAAATGTATGAACCAGTCGGGGGCTGAGTCCGTCATCTTCAGGAGACAGAAATTGCTGGACAACTGGAGAGGAGTCAATCGGTGGGTGGGGTCCAGGAGAAGTCCAGAAATGTTTTCACATTTGTTGACCACGGCTCCTGGTGTTAACCAGGTGCAGCAGCAGGATTACACTCATGTGGATGATGTTGTTAGCAATCTTTTTAAGTCTCAGGATGTAGCGCGATGTATATATCAATCTGGAGTTGATGATTAAAAAGTAGTAGAAGAACCAAAAGGTCACAACTGAGAGGTGTGTCTCTGTTCATGTGCCTCTGTCGAATTAAGCCACAAAAAAATATTCCTTGTGCTTTTGAGAAAATGTGGTTTGGGATGATTTGAAGAAATACAATTTGGTGCCAAAATTGTACAGTGCCTACCAATCAGCATAAACACAGTCTCATTGGTGCAAACATGTTCATTTACCAGGAAATAAACAGTCGCAGGCATGAAAAAAATAGAATCTACAAAAATTGCAAAAAAACCCATTGCATAGGACTTCATAGAAAATCATATCAGATCCAGAACACACACAGCTTCAGATAAGTGTACATATGGTAGAAGAACGACCACAACACAGAGATGATTGACATATCCCATCATAGTAATGTGGAGCTACACACAATGAAAGCAGCTTTGATTTTCCAACAGTGTTTGAAAAACAAATGCACTTCCTCCATCCATGTACCCACGGGTGTGTTGGTCTTGATTTGCACTTACATTCAGTCGCCTTGTTTTACACTCAGGTGGGCTGCTCAGAAAATCATCCCCCCCTTTACAACTGGGTTAATATGCCCTGATCATGACAATCCACCAAGGTGTAAGTGCACCTGGCTCTTTAAGGGAATGTGAGATGGTTTATTGCATGAACCCAAAAGCTATTATACTAACAAAAGTGTATTTGTCCCAAATTAACTTCTGCCCTAATAATAATATTAATGATTAAAAACTTGAATTTATAGCACCTTTCGAGAGACCCAAGGACCCTTTACATGTGTCAGTCTTTCAGCTTTAGACCATAAGCTTAGATCTTTTAAATAGAGCCCTGAGCCCTGATTTGTTAGCAGCCTGTTAAGAATGTATACATTTAATAGGTGAGGTTGAGTGCCCCGCACTTGGTGCAGAAGACTACAGGAAATGTTAGATGAAGTAACAAATTGTTTGAGTTGTAGACAACAAGACAAATATAATGCCAATCAGTCCTGTCCATCAGTATTCAACTATTTATCACATACTGTATGTTTCTTTTTGTAGAATTTAGTAACATATAATCACTGTTTTTACATTGTTACAGATTAAAATACTCGTGTATCATAAATTTCCAAGGTATTTAAATTCCCACTGAATAAATTTGTACAGAGCACTTCATGTTTACGTGTCATTTCACTTGTACTAATAACATGCCATTAAAGAGCTAGTGGGAGAACAAGTAACCAACTAAAGGGTTGAACTGAACAGCCCATTTTTGCATTCATTTTTTGGTTCTATGAGTAATGACAGCTGGGAGTTACTAAATATAGTTGCTTAGTGAAATACACTGAAGCTCCTGCCTCTGTCCAAAGTACAGTCATTTATGGAATTATTTATTTTACTAATCACCTCTATACTTAATTATACAAAGACTTGAATCTGTTGTCGCTTCACTGAATTTTTTTTATATTTTCTGAGAACAGGCTGGATTGATCATGTTGTAGGCTGCACATAATCTATTACAGGAAGACATGCATTAATCTTTGTATTTGTGTCAGCATCATTGTCATAAGCTGTAATTCACTTAAAATATAAAGGTAATTGTGGTGACTTATTGAAGTAAAAAAGTACCCCTCAGCAGTGAACGATGGTGAAAATGTCATTAAGTTGTGTGTGACCATGAAATTCCACAGCTCTTGTTTTTCTTTGTGACTGATGTCTCTCACTGACTTTTCTGTAGAGGTCAGTGAGCACAGATGCTCTGATGGTGCTCGAGCACCGGGTCAATCTGCTGCCACAGACAAAAGGCTACAGGCAGACTCTGGGGTCCACAGATAACGGCATGATCCTTAGCACACCAGTGGAACAGACAATTCAGAATGTGTTTAATGTAATCTTTGGCTGCATCTGTCACAGCTTCCTCTCCTCAGATCGGTGCCACCTCGGGCTTCAAGGCAAGGAGGATGGATGATTTAATCTGATTGGCTGCCATTATGCTGAGTCATGGCTAGCTTTGACCAGAGTCCCTGACATAGATCAGGGACTGGTTACAGGGTGACCTTGTAAAGTGGTACACTTCCTGCTGAGTGAGGGGCTTTTATGAGCAAATCACCATCAATGTAACCAGTTCACGGTGCTGACAAGATGCTTCAACGCTAGATTAGATGATGGAATAGATTTTAATGTTTGTGTGCAAGTGGTTGCAGTGTGTTGTGACGTGATCTACACTAACAGATATGGAATAAGAGTTTGACTGATTGACTTTTCCAGATAATTTAGTAATAGCCCAATAACTTGACTGTATATAGTCAGTAAACATATTAAATGGAAATGAAACCCTGATGGATATTACTCATCAGCCCCACTTTATCACACAGTGAAACAACAGTTCCCTTATTACACATTTTAATTCACTAGATCTAGATGTTTATTTGGTTCTACACCAAATTGCACACACTCACAGAAACCAGTCCCTTAATAGGCCAATTTTTCCATCAGTATCTATTAATCATTCTCTGAAATAAAAGTTTTAGGATCCACTCTCTGATCTAGATTGACACTAAAGAAGTTCTTTCCTTACACTCCTTCCTACAGACAAACACAGACAAAAACATAACATACCTCTTTAGTGGAAGTAACAATTCTTTGACCTTTTATTGTCAAAAGCATTGGAAGAGTTGTCTGTCAATGGGCCGGCATGCCCAAACAGGTGTTTTCAAAATCAGCCAAAGCAAGTAAATTGACCGACCTTGGCTCTTTAAATAAGACCCATTACTGATTCTTGAGACCCCTTGTGTCGCCCACATGGTCTCAACCAGCAGTCAAGTATACTACCGCAAGACAAATCATTCAAATTGACAAAATTGTGTAGCCCACAGTGAAGGTGAAAGGCAATTATCTTATTGGAGTTGACATGTTAGAAAATATTTGGATTGGTGGGGTTAATTAGATACAGACCAGCTTCCATCCCATCAATAATGTGGCACCTTTTAATAGAACATTACAATTACATTCTTCCAATACCTTCCTACAACAGAGGACTTTTAATCATTCTTATGTTTCAGTCAATAAAGACACACATGACGAAACAGTATGAATACTTTTTTTATTGTCTTTAAACTTGTGCATCAACTTCAAAGGGTAAACTGTGTGCACTCTATTTTCTTTTCACAAGTTCAAAATTAGTTAAATACATCTTTTTCCTTTTTAAAACCATTTACACACGATTGCTCAGCACTGGACTCTAGCAGTCTATCAGTAATCAGGGGTGTAGAATGATAAGCATCATCAGCCGTCTCCCTCCCTTCCTCTGTGTGTGTGTGTGTGTGTGTGTGTGTGTGTGTGTACACTGTATAGTTGCTCTAACCAGTATTATCAATACTCTTCTTTCATGTGAAGTAAAAATATCTTTCTTTAAATATGATTCCTTTACATGATAAAAAATAGTTTCTTTTTTTTTTTCTTCTTCTTCTCCATACACAACGTCACTGATGCTTGACCAGAATGTTCTGTCTCTCTACCGGAGAACAGTACTAATTGCTGTGAATCTGCTCCATGGAGAGTGGGTGCACCCTGCACTCGTGTGTGTGTGTGTTTTAAGTGTGTGTCAGCTTTGTCTAGTGTCTAAGAAAGCCTCCTGAAATACTGGTGTGGAGAACCCCCTCTCTGCCATGGATGGCACTCTTCATGGAGCATTTTGTGTTGATAAAAATCATTACAAAATTTGATTCTCTTCGTACAAAAACACTTTTTTTTTTTCATAGAAATTGCATTTGCGCAAGTAAATGTGGGGCTTTGCTGCCAAAAAAAGAAAATAAAGCCACAGGAGTACAAAATGAAACTGGACACTTGATACTGCGCAAACGGAAAGAAACCGTGTATATACCCATACAGAGTTGAGGTGTATTTACTGCAGTAGTGAAAATCCAGTCCATAGAGATATAAATAATGAGTATCATAAATTAAACAATAAATACTTAGAATAAATAGAGTCTGTGTGTTGTGTGATTGCTGTGAATTTAGACATTCCAAGGTTCCGCCTCGTTGATATTAAGGGTGTGTGTACTTCCACAGAATCCTCCTCATATGACTACTGGCTGATACATGGACATCAACAGGTCACTACATTGCCCTACTCCTGCATTTTCTGCTTGAATTTTACCATATAATCTTAAATCTTAAAATCCCCCCACCCCCCCACATTAAAGACAAAGTGTTAGTACTCTGAAACACAAATAAATGATATCACTTATTGCCTGATGGATGATATACAGTTTATCCATTTCTGATGTCAATCAATATCATATGCAACCAAGCAATGCCTCTCTGTACATTTTGGGAGCTGCCGAGGTCGTCATCGTTTTCGGGGCTTTGGGTTTCATTTAGTCAATAACTGCTGTGGTCACTCTCTTCGCAACTCTTGAAAATAAAACCAAACACATCCTGTACAGACATTTCCCTCCACTCCCCTCCTTAGTTTGTTCACCCATCGTTATTGAGATGCTCTGGAGGCTGCTCAACCAGCCTCTTTTGAAGTGTGCGGTGAAAGACTCACTGAGCAGCCGCTGAGGATTATAAGCCCAATTTGTTTTTTGTATTTTTTATCATTGACCACTTCTATCCCAATTTAAATTTATTCCCAGACTACCTCTTCAACTCCTGGGTTTTGAAAATCCTTTGCCGCCTTGCCAAGGTGCTAAGAGCAATGAGGTAACTCACTGAAAATTTACCCAGGTTCAAGTTATTTCCACAGGAAATATTGTTGAATCTCTTATCCCTAGCTAATTTTTTAAAGAAACAAGAATGATATTTCCCCAATAAACACCCAAGCACCTCTGCTCTACCTTTGAAATAACCAAACTATCAGCCAAAGCAACCCGTTGCCCCCCCCCCTTACCATTTACCCCTTCCCATTTCCCCAGTGTCTCTGCACAACTCCTCACTGCAAGAGTGAGGGTGAGTTAGTGATTGAGATTTTAGGCCATGGTCTCTTTCCCTGGCAGTCTGCGGTCGTTGAAAGTGTGCATGTTGATGACCTCCTCCGTTTTCACCATGACAGGTGGCTGGGGCTTGTGTTTGAGCCGGCGCTGGCACTTGAGGGAAACCCGCAGCTCGTCCACCACAGCACTGCAGAAGGACCTCTGCAGAGGGAAATAGGAAAAAAGGAGAACAGAATAGGTTTCAGACTGCTTCCCCTGTCCAAATGTTATGGGCAAAAGAACAAGCCTGTTCTCATTGTAGGCAGCCTTGTTTTGTAGCCTTCCCAAATCACCACCCACCATCTAGGTGCAGAGCTGCCACAGGGGGAAATGGTGAAATATGCAGTGTAGCAGGCTGGGAATGGAGAAAATGCTTGATGGGAACAGAGAAAGGAGTAGGGTGGAGGGGGGTGCAGGTCCATAGGCTGTGTAGTAGTTTGTAAAGTGTAAAGGCATGGAATTACTTATCTTAGTGTCTGAATACAATAGTGGCGATTTATAGTAGTTGCTGCGCATGCAAGGCTTTTTATGTTTGATGCATTGTGTATTTTACATTTTACACATATTCTCAAAGTACTGTATCAATCTGTAACTTCCACTGAATTTTAGGAATACAGTTTATCATGAGTTACATATAGACCCTTTAAGCTTCCTTGTCTAACTTGACATTAATACTGGAAATTGCTGGTGTTTTTACATAATATCTTCGGGCAGTCTCAGAGAAGGGCATGAATTTCCTACTTAAAAAGAGAAACTAGGTAAAATCTCACTATGGGACTGTTCTTTAACAATCAATGAGCATGTGACATCCAAATGCACAGATTTTACTGAGGTCACTGCACCAGCTGCATGGTCCAGAGTCTAAGTCTCTTTATTAATCATGGGTGTGTTTTGGGTTTTACACACACGCAATAAAGTGCCATTCCCTTTAAAAGCCGGAACCCTTATAATAACAATGAACCACACTGACTTCAGACAAGCACTTTGGTCAAAAGTAACTGGATGGAAAAATGACTGCATCACTCTGACACTAGCAGAGACACTTTCCAGTGTTTGCAGCTGCTTAGTGGCTGGTTTAAGATAGAGCTCTCCAACAATGTAAGTTGGGCAGTAATACAGTGATTAAATTGTATAGTTAGAAAAAATAAATCAGATTGTATGGCTTTTGACAGTAGCACAATTATTGGGTATTTTCTAAACTTTTCCAAGACTGTTTCTAGATGACTGAGAGATGAGGTAACTCAGATAACTGCTCTTTACAACCCTGGTGAGCAGAAAGGTGTCTCTGAAGGCAACACGTCCAGCACTGAGGTGGATGGTTTACAACAGCAGAAGAGCACGTCAGGACCCTGCTGAGTGACTTCACTGAGCTTCAGTGAGCTCCACGGTCAAATGTAAATCTGGTAGAACATATGTGATGTGGTATAAAATGTTTTTAATGCAGTCATGTCATGTCAACGAGCATGGAGCATAATCTCAAAGGAAAGTTTCCAACATCTTCTGCAATCCATGCTATGAAGAATTGAGTCTGTTTTGAGGGCAATGAGATAGTGTACATCATCATGTGATCTTTCTTATTAATATATATTTTGACGAAATATGTGCAAAATATGTTTACTGCAAATCTTTAAAATACTATTACTGTCCTTCTTAACATTACTTCTTTCTAGACTATTCGCACCAGATAACTAAACTAGGATGTGGTTAGGAAAACATTGTGGTCATGGTAAATATAAGGTTAAAGTAACACTATTAACAAAGTTATGAAAGAGCTAATAATAACACAGGTCCTTTGATGATAAAGGTAAATTCAGTTGTTTGGTGCAGAATGACCCAATGCCATCAGGTGCTTTTCTAATACATACAGTACAGATCATTCTCCCATTGTCTGTGTGTCATGGCAGCACTCCACTTTACAAGGCTTTTTGTTTAATAATAGTGTAATAATATGGCAACGGTATGATCCCAGCTGGCTTCACACCAACCAATGATGCCAGCTGTATTCAAAGGGGCCTAGTGATATGGGGCTGAAACCAGACCGCCGATGCCAAGTTCACCCTGAATTAGTGCAACTTTGCATATTTAAACTGCTTAAGAGATCAATGCACAAACCTGGTGGCCAACAATGTCCCCCTCTTATTTTGCATTTGGAAAATGTTCCATTCAATTACAGTGTATCTACTGTTATTGCAGTTTTACTTGTGTTCATCCTCTTTCCAAATTGAATGTTGTTCGATTGCAACAAAGTAATTTTCCTTTGGGGATCGTTGAGGTTTTTCTGACAGTGAAATGCTGGATTTCTATGTGTCACCGAGTCATTGGTATGAGCGCAGAAACATTTCCACAGCAAAATAGAAAATTACACCTAAATAAGCAGAAGTCCAACTAGTAATTTTCTTTTCAGGGCTTGTACCATAACAGGGATATTTCATGCTTTGGATCGAGCACTTTTAGCTCAATTCAGTGTGCCACTATAATCTAAAGTCGAGGGACTCGAGGCTTGTTGAGATTTAAAAGCCTTGTCACTGAAGCATGGTAATAACATTGAAAGCACAGGTAGGTTCATTTGATACAAAATTTGCTGCAATAATACTGTACACACCACGAATCATCCTTCTATAGTAATAAATGAAAGCACCTTAAAAACACTTCAGAAACAAGGTCTGGAATAAAATATTCAGCAAAGCTTATGAACATAGATGAGAGGTCCTAAAAGTTCAACCATAAGCAAACAGGAGGGAAGACAACCAAAAACACATCTTCAAATTAAATTACAGATATGTTGTTTGTCCATAAAATGACACATAAGTGATCCAATGCACTGATCAGTAGTACTGATCTAATACTAATTTGATTTGCCCTGAAAACTATAAAAAATGTAAGTCAAAAAAATTTTAAGATATTAATTATAAAGTTTAATAACATGACAAGGGATGATGACTTGGTTAGATTTTGTGGTTTGGGTTAAACAATAACTCCATTAAGGTTATATAAGCTTTGTTGCCATGGTAACAGTAACAGCCAATAGGATACATTTATAGAAGGATCAACAGTAACTGTCAAATCAGGGAAATTAACAATGATCCTTTAGTGTAAAAATATTCTCGTAACCCATCTGTTCTCCATGAAATTCTCACTCTGCAATTTTCGTTGACTTGGTGCTCTTCAAGAAATCCTTTATTCGACAGTGAATGCAAATGGTTGTTAAACGTGTGGGTAAGTTCCAAAAGGAGCCTGTTTCAATTCTATCAAATTCTAGTGGCGAGTACACTGCTGACAAATCTCCATGCATAATGTGATGGATCACAATGGGAAAATAAGCTAAGTCTCCAGTGGGTTGTGTGCGTTCCAGCCCCATTTTGTAACTTAAATTGATCAGACAGCTGGATTTCCACAGCTGGATTTCCACAGTATTTCATTTAAATATTCCCCAGTGCAGTTTATCCACACACTGTGATTATCATGTAGCTGAACATCTGGACACCATGCCAAACAATATCACTGTATCAAGCCTGACTGGATAAGAACTACATGGATGTATAATAAATGCAAAGATTCATGCATAATTTGATTATTAAATGTATTCAAATACTGTATGACCCGTTAAACAAGTCATGACGCTGTGGCTGTGATGCTTCGACTCATTTTTGTACATTAGAAATATGAAATTGGGACAGATTTTAAAATGTTTTACTGACAAGGATCTCAGGATTGAGCATGGATACAATTTAAAAACAGTCTCTGGAAACTTTGTTTCCTTTAAATAGTGTGTGTCAATGGTTTTGCTAAATCTGTTCCACTGTAATTGCAGGGAGGTGGTAGAGGTTGATACTACAGCAATAAATCCTGAGCCTAGCTACCACAGGCCTCAAAAACAGTTTGGCTAATATTTGGGGTAATGGCTAATATTTGGGGTAATGGTTTTAATTAAGAGTTGGAAAGTTAAATACATACACTCCATTGTCTCTTTAAAGAGACAATATTTATTTAAACTTAACCAAGAGATTTCCATGGTGGCTGGTAGATCTCAGCTCAGTGCAACTTAAATGTAATAGGGTGTAAACTACGGTCACTTCAAAGTTGAATGTGCGACTGCATGTCTAACCAATACCTTGAAATATCACGCATGGCAAAAACAGGCCTCCACTTCTAGTTCTAAATCAGCTGACACCCTGCACATATTTTTGTTTATCCGGATAAAGTGAAACACAACCACTGCTGTCAATTTAAAAACATTTTCACTAACACTATGAGTGGAAAAATAAACCACAGTGGGTGGATTACTGAGCTAGTTTGTCCCTAAGAACTGTACTTCAGAGAGCTGGTGAATAAACAAAACCCTCACAAAGCCTAACAGAGCAGACGATTCATTAGAAGATGGTTTTCTATGCAAATGTCCCTCTTTAAATAGCTTCTAATTAAAGGTTCACTGTCTAGAATTCAGTGAAATCTAGTGGTGAAGTTATATGTTGCAGCTGAATACCCCTCACTCCAGTTGAGAGTTAAGAACAGAGGATGTCAAACCTTGTTAAGCCCTGTGAGACAAATTGTGATTTGTGAATATGGGCTAAACAGCAAAAATTTGATTGATTGATTATTGATCAGGACATTATTTCATATCCAAATCATGATCATTGACCATGATCAAGATTAGAGACACAAACTAAAGTTTCTATAGATTAATCAATCATCCATAATTATATGGTGTACATGTCACAAACACATCATTATGAAAAATAATTATTACAATATAAAATGGTCTCATTGGAGTATATTACATGCATTTCCCCATCTGCTTCTTTTCATTGTGAGACAGTTTTTGGTTCACCAGAATACCAAAGGAATAATACAAACAAAAACAGCCAGGGGCTCAGGCAACAAGCTCTTACCTGGTGTGATGGTCAGAGGAAATGGCGTGGATCGTCAGTGAGTTAGGACGTTAGGCAGATGAATGATGAGAAGGAACAACTGTGCACTGTGTGATGCACACGAACAGCCAATCACAAGACGCTAGTTCAAACTCGAATACACACGCCTCTGTAGAATAAAATCTATGAACAAACACGAACCGGCAGGCATCTCCACATGTTTAGCCACGATCTTAGTGAGCACAGTGGGTTTTAGGCCCATTGAATGGCATCACTTATTGCTGCACCTTGTTT